GTATCTTCCAGTTATTTTTTTTTCATCCTGGCATATCACATTTCTGCTCAAGAGTATATTTGTGTTGTATTTTGCATAAATTGTTCATATTTCTTCAAAACCCACCAGATATATGTCTTCCTCTGTGCTATTTTCATCCTCTGGACCTGGCTGTGATCCATCTGAGGAAGGTCCTTGTCCTTGCAGGTGTAAAGCGCGGCTCGTTCGCTCAGCGTCACATTTAGCTGATTGATACTTGCGTTGACCAACCGAGTTAAATTCTTGCCACAGATTAATTCTATATCGCTTCTCACGTTTTGCAAAATGTTGTGGAAAATGTGGAGAGTGCAGCAATCTGCAGCAAAAGCACGGCATTCAGGTATTTTCTTCACCATGTCTTGGGCTTGGGAGTCGGCAGTTATCCAGTGCAGAGTTTTGGGTGTTACAGAGCTGCACGCGTCCTGGAGGGGAGGAAGAGGAGAGAGACATTATTAATCTTTACACTTTTCCCGGTAGTTCCTTCGTGTTTGAATGTCTGGGCCCATACACACCAGTCTTTCAGTTTTTGTGTGCTTGGAGGTATTTTGTTATTGTTCAATAGCTGTATTAACACCTCTACTCCTTTTATCGAGTAGGTATTGCACACTGTCTGTGCCAGTACTTTCTGTCTTAACAGCCTGCTTGGCTTTGTTTTCAGCTTTTCTAAGTCTTTTTTTTTTTTTTTTTTTTTTTTTTTAAATTTGCCATATGGGCAAAATCTACTCCTGCAAGAGATTTTCTTTGACCTGAGCATATTTTCATCTGTTTCAGCAGAAGCGGTTTTGATTTCAAGAATGGATTCAGGAAAAATGTTTACATTTTTTTTTTTTTTTTTTTTTTTTAATTTACCATATGGGCAAAATCTTCTCCTGCAAGAGATTTTCTTTGACCTGAGCATATTTTCATCTGTTTCAGCAGAAGCGGTTTTGATTTCAAGAATGGATTCAGGAAAAATGTTTACATTGGTTTTTATCAATGTACTCTTGGGAACGCGTTCCCCAGGAATTGAGTTCTCTGAGTTTATTGTCTCTGAGGAAAGGATGGACTGAGCAGGATTTTCAGCAGAAATGCTTCTGACTGCTCTACTACTAGGATCAGACCAAAGAGCAAGGTAATTCTCTTCCTATTTCCAGTGATCTGACCAGTTTCATTCAAAAAGATGCCTGCCTCAAGCCTAGCATCACCCAGGAGGTAGATTCAAAAAGATGCCTGCCTCAAGCCTAGCATGACCCAGGAGATGGAGAAGGACCAATGTGTTTAGTCTGGAAGGTTGGAGCTAGCGGTCAGATGAGGCAAAGCTGCCCAAGCTCTCCCCAGCTGTCCCCAGATATTGCTCCAACTCTGCCCTAAGCTGCCCAAGCTCTCCCCAGCTGTCCCCAGACATTGCTCCAACTCTGCCCTAAAATAATACAACGTAAGTGCTTTCCTTCCTGTATGGAATAGAGAGCAGAGACTATTTTATGTTCTAACCCATATGTTACCCCCATTATGTTGGGGGGTTGGGCTGGATGACGTCCAGAGGTCCCTTCCAATCCCATATCATTCTGTGATTCTATAGCCCAAATATTATAAAATACTAGAAAGACTATCAGAAAAGAAATAATTCAAGAGATTTCTCCACAGACATGGATACAGCAAATGCAAAATAGTACACTTACATATTTTTTAAACAAGGTCGTTGCTTGCCTTTCTATCACTGATGCTAAGGGCTTTATTTGGGTAGTAAAATGCTTCTGCATCTGTCCTGTAGTAGTTTTCCTTCCTTCTTCTGAGGTAGCTGTTGGTGCCAAGGAGGCCAAAGGAACCAGCAAACAGAAGAGGAAGATTGTGAACCTGTTGATCTCTGCATTCGAAGGAAGAGAGAGGGGGGGGAAAAAAAGAGTACAATGATTAGTCTCAATTAGTCTGCATCATTTTTGCAAAACTTCCTGGTTTTGTGCAGGGTGCTAAATTTCTAAAGTGCGTAGATGTTACGTGGCTCAGCAAGCGATGAACATCAACCAGCACAACCTTACGATGCGTTAAGGCTCACCCACCTGCTTGGCGTTTCATGGCGGGCTTGGAGAGCAGCTGACTTGGCCGAAAGTGAGTTGGGTGTTGGTGCTCAAGCTGCTTGTTGCCTGGACTGCTGTAGACATGGACAGCCAAGCTGCATTTAAGTACCGTGGGGTTTTGCGTCAGTGGCTCCTCCATGGGTATTTTTGTTGGTTTTTTTTTTTTTGTGGGTGATAGTTTGGGGTTTTTTTCTTTTTTGAAAGATTACATCAAAAGTTGGTTCAACTGAGTCCTCACTGATTGTGATCTAGATGCAGTTTCAAACTGACACAGTGTCCCTTATCATCTATTTGACTAGGAGTTCAGGATGCTTCGCTTAGCCACCCCGTCTAAATCCTTGGGCTCTCCAAAATGTAGGATTTAGAACATAAACTCTGTTTGCTTTTTTTTAAAAAACATGGTTGGAGCAGGAAGCACATCATTGGTGCCCAAAGCCAGCAGCCTTCTCCTGCAGGGTCAATCTAAGAGTGGGCTCATGCAGGGAGGGAAAAAGCCATGAGGGGCTTATGTGCAAGGCATGTCAGGCCTCTAGATCAACATATGTGTATCCTTTTTCTGGATGTTTGTAAGAGCCTGTCCCTGAGGTGTAACCACCTCATGTCATGCAGCAGAGGATATCCAGGATGCCACCTCCCCATCTCAATCACCCTTCTCTCTAAACAACCCTGAGGCTGTTTTCTGTTTCCAGTAACTAAATGCAGAAAATTTCTCATGCTCACCAAAACAGAGAAAAATGGTTCTTAGGATTTACAAGAATGAGGCTGTGATCAGCAGAGGACATGCAGAACTACTGATAATTCAGGACAGAAAGGAGGGCAGAGGAGACCTCTATGAATGTACCTTTGTGAATACCCAGTGACATCTACACACTCGTGCTTCCCACTGCTGTGATAAAGATACTCCTGCAAAGTAGTCATAGATTCCAGGATGAATGTGTGTCAAGTCACCAGAAAACTTTCGAGAAACAACAACTTGTTGTGAAAACAATCAGTTCCGTGTGAAATTTTCCATGTGAAATAATCTGTCTCTGAAAATATAAACGCCTGGTGTGCGCATTAACTCTTCTGAAGCGCCTGGGACTGGTACAAGGAGTGTTCTTCAGGCTGAACTGATTCCTGGGGCTTGAAACTGGAACAGACATTTCCCCTGTACCACGTTTCACTTGGGTCCCACCATCCTCTTAACTTCAGGCCTCAGTTATTTGCTTGAAGCCCCAGTAATGGAGATTCACAAACTGAACGTGGTTCTGCTGCCGTGCTGGGAGGGAGCCCTGGCCAGCCGAGCAGAGGGATGCAGCCATCCCACATGGGGATGCATTTCTTCTTGCACCACCCATGTTCCCAGGTGCTAAATAGTGCAAAGAAAGAGAATGAGTTATCATGGCCTACGGCGTGAGGCAACAGACAGCACAGCAGAGCGCTGGAGAAGAACCAGAAAAGAATGGTTCTTGCAGATGCTTTTTTTATTTGAGGTTTTTGTTATTACTTGGGGGTAAAATGGAAAGCATTCTTACAGCTTGGCTTTTCCACAAAACACGATTTGACCACTGGTGGTGCTTTGTCAAAGGTTTTTAGAAGATTCGACTTCATTTTCTCCTGAGCTGAGGATAGCGGTTTCCCTGGTTATTCCATTCCATGGCATGTTGCTGTCTCTGCATGTGTGTCCTCTGCACATCCTTTCCTATCTGTACACAGCTGTGATAAGCTGCTGAGCTGATAAGGGAGCACATCGGCATCTGTCCTGTGAAACCCAAGTGGTGGTTCAGCTTTCCACCACGTAACCACCCGATGCCGCAGAGTATCTGCAATTTATTTGGGGAAATTTTGCTGACACAGACGGCTCCGTAGGCTCCCTACAATGGAATTTGTAGCCATTGCCTCAACACCTATTGCTGGAAAAAGCAAATAAACCTCAGAGCGGTGAAGACCTGAATCTGACCTGTGACAGAGCCGTGGCTTTTGTTCCTAGGTCTCATCTACTTTTTCCAAGTGTAGGAGCTGGTATTTTTAGCTGTGAACTTTGTTTTCCGATGGCCTTGCGCTGCCGTGGCAGTGACTCCCTCCACGCTAGTGAAGAGCAGTGCTTTCACAGCTGGCTGAGAACCTGACTGCTTCCTCCCTGAAACTTGGGTGACGCTCAGGATGTCGATAAGAGAAATGGTAAATGCCATGTCACAGGTCTTTCCCTGATGGGGAGCAGCCCACAGAACCCAGAGGGAGATCCAGAAAACCAGGGATTTATTCCCAGCCTGGGGAGCTCGGTGCCACCTCAGGCTCGCCCCGTGTCCCTGCTTGCAGAGCTTGGTCACAGAATCACGTCCCTGCTTGCAGAGCTTGGTCACAGAATCATGGAATCACATGGGGTTGAAAGGGACCTCTGGAGATCATCTACTCCAACCCCTCTGCCAAAGCAGGTCCACCCAGAGCAGGTTGCACAGGGACTCGTCCAGGTGGGTTTAGAATGTCTCCAGAGAAGGAGACTCCACCACCTCCCTGGGCAGCCTGTTCCAGTGCTCTGCCACCCTCACAGGAAAGAAGTTCCTCTTCATGTTTAGGTGGAACTTATATTCAAGGTCCCCTGTCTCCAGGGCACCCGCGTCCCTGCCGTCTCCTAGCAACAGGGACATGTTCCGCCGAGACAGGGAATTCCATTCCAGGCTCAGGCTGGATGGCAGCACCCGGCCCGTGCAGCCTCTCGGCTGCTTTTCGGGAACACCTGCGGTGCCTGGGTCTGCAGGACTTCCCCTGCGGCCTTGGCAGCTGGGTAGAGGGCCAGGGGGGCACAACGGTGGGACATTGTGGGGGGTCTATGGTCTGTAGGGCTGTCACTGCCTCTCCTCTCTCCCTCTCCACAGAACAAGTCCCGTTTCGATGCACACAGGAGTCCCCGCAGAGGACGGCCGGGGCCGGGGACAGACCCAGCCGGGCGGGAGGAGACTGTGCCACTGGGTGAGGAGAGCCCCGAGGCTCTGATTGAGCTGCTGTGTGACCCACACAGCCCCTGGGCCCTGCCGCCGGGCTGCAGCCCCCAGGACCAGCGCCTGCGGGAGATGGCTGTGCTGGCACCCGAGCTCGTCCGTGGCTCCAACGTCTTCCAACTCTTCAGGTCCCTGCGGATCGTTAACAAAGGAGTAAGTGCAGCTGCTGGTGCTGGTAAAGCTACCCATCTCCAGGCCAGGAAACCATGGCTCCATGTTGGGAGGGAAAACATCCTGGGAAGATGACACCTTCCCCATCCCAGGGTTGTCCCAGATGCCACTTTATACACACCCCGCCCCCAGTGTGTTGCACTGATCTGTTACACTTATGTCATGTGGATCAACACTGTGTGGCCATGTCACCTTGGCCATGGAGGTGGCTCAGGGATGCGTTGGCCAAACACAACTCTTTGCAGGTGGAGGAGGTCGACGAGGGTCTGTTGCAGTTACATCAGCTGGAGGAGCTCATCCTCAGCACCAACAAGATCAGCGGGATAAACTCAGCCAACCTGCCCCGGACACTGAAGGTGAGTGAGCAAAGCCTTGTGACGGCAGGATGGGGAAGGAGGTCCCATCTGGGAACGCAATCCAAGCCAAACAGCTCGAGGGAGTGCCAGGAACAACTCATTGCAAAGGGTGTTTGTTGTTCCCTCTGTCCCAGGCAGGTCCTGGAGCTCTGCTGCAACGCTGTGGCTGATCTGCAGGACCTGTGCGCTCATCCTCCTCCAGAGCTGCAGCACTTGGGGCTGGGGTACAACAGGCTGTGCAGCCCTTTGCAGGACAAGTACCTCACTGCTACCTTCTGGTAACACCACAGGCTGAACACGGGCTCCTAAAAGGGGGGTGGGCAGATGCAAACAGATGACCTTAAGCCATCAAGGTGGCCCATGTTGAGAAATTACAGCCTTTCAGCAGAGTTGTCTCTTTGCTCTGTGCCCAACGCCGATGCAGAGCCCTCTGTCTCTGCTCACTGTCTTCTGTCCCACTCTTAGAGGGTGTTGTGGTCTGTAGCCAAGGTGTGGAAAGGGAAGATCAGCTGAGGAACAGCCTTGACATCCTGCTTACCAGGTTCCCATGGCCCTGGGCAGCTGCTTTTTTCCATGCCTTTCCCAAAGTCCCTCCTGGGAGTCTGCCCTGGGAAGGATCTAAAGCTTAGGCTGCATCACCAGATGGTGCAGTGGGATGGTTAATGGATGCTAAAGGAACATAGTTTTGAGTTGTGGGGCAGACTGGCAATGGAGCATATGGCTCACGAAGTTGGAACTGGCCTCTTTGAGATTGTACCATTGGATTCCCCAGTTTGACCCAGTTTGTGCTGGGGAAACACAGGTTTTGTTTCTTTTTTTTTAACTCAGGGCAGTAGCTCTCTATCCTCAGAGGAATGCTGTTTGCCCAACCTTCTTCTCTGGGTTCTCTCCTTAGGCCAAATCTTGTCTCCCTTGACCTGAGCTTTAACAACTTCACGGATCTGATGGAGCTGGTCTCCCAACTGTCCAGTCTGCAGAAGCTCCGCGTCCTGGTGCTCCAAGGGAACCCACTGGTCCTCATTCCCACTTACAGAGGCTTCCTCGTGGACAGCCTGCCCAAGCTCTCCTTCCTCGATGACATCCACATAGGACCTGACGAGAGGCTCCAGTTCCATGGTTTGGCAAAGCAGCCAGGTGAGCCTTTGCCTTTGAACCTGTCTGTGCTGACCCGGTGATTCAGTAGGTGGTTTCATTGTGGTTGAAGTAGGAGTCCTCAGGGCAAACTCTGGATCCAGTATTGACTTTCTTCTTGCCTTTTCTCAAAAGAAATCTTTCTCTGTGCCTTTTTATCCCACCAGTACAAGTGGGGTGACAGGCAGAGGACCGTGCAGCAGTGTAATTGCAATCAAGGTAGCTTTAGCCTTAATCAGGTCCAAAGATTGCAGGAACAACCCAATCTCAGCACTGCCTCGCTGTCAGGATTTGCCCCCATCTTTCCTTTCTAGATGCCATCTGGTTTCAGATGACGAGTTTCCCTCTCAAGCAGCTGGAAGAGGAACATCTCCACTGGGGAAGATGCTCACATGTGCTGCACTGCCAGCAGGAAGCAGTGCCACCTCTGCAGCGTGGCACATCCCCGACTGGGATGAGGGCAGGGGCTTGGGGACACCCAGGGGTGGGAAGCTCCTCTTGATGGCCCCTACTCAATGCGTTTATGCGCTGGATCTGCTCTTTGTAGTCTAAAATACTAACCAGGGAGGCAAAGCCATGGAGTCAAGAGATGTTTGCATGGCTTTGGAGTGACCCCGTGTGGCAGTGGCTTGTCACAATGCTAGCACAGGGTGGCAGGAAAGGATGCCAGGTGGTGGGACACGGCAACCTGGAGGCTTCCACTTGCTCTGCACCTTCCTCACTCTGGAAGGAGCATGCTGCAGCCTCATAGCAAGATTGTCTTCCTTCTAGAGCTGATCAGGAATGAAGCACGAGTGGTTGTGAGCATTGGGGAAATCAAGGGAGTCCCTGATCCCAGCACGCAGCAGCAGCTGGAGGTTGGCTCCAAGGCTCCAGTGATCACCTACAGCTACTGTGTGACATATGAGTTTGCAGAAGGCGAGGAGATTGAGGACGGTAGCAGCACTGAGGTTTGTGCTTCACCCAGCTCCTGAAAGCAACAGACAGTGGCAGGTCACAGCAAGGGGGACTTCACCTCCAGGCTGAGGAGTGAGACCATTTGTAATGGCCCTGGTGTGGGTGGCAGCAGTCCTGGGGACAGAATTCTCATGTGGTCACACCTGGTCCCTACTGCCCACATTCCCTGTCCCTCTCAGGGATCCCAGCGCTGCTGTGCATGTGGGAGTGCATTTACAGCCCTTCTCCTGCAGCAGACCCCTGCCCTGGCACTGGTGGCCCTTCTTCCAAAGGCAAGGGTGGTCTGGGGAATGGGATTTAGGAAGCAGCTCTGCCCCCTGGTCCTGCAAATACAACCAGACGTACGCTGCCAGGAGATCTCTCTTTGTTTCAGGTAACAAAAATCCATCAGAGTCCCACAGTGGCCACCCTGGATGTGGACAGCTCTGCTCAGGACACAGGAGAAACAGGAGGCCAACAGGATCCTGCAGCCACAGAGGAGCCCAAGGCCCATTCTGGTAATGAGAAATTACAAATTAATTGATACTGGTCATGTCCCAGGGGCCCTTCCTGTCCTTGGGAAGAAGACGTCTCTCCTCAGAGATTTTTTTTGTGTCCCTGCACAGCAAAGGTATTTGTCACCCCTGGAAAGCCCTGGGAAGACACCATCGACTGCAGCTACAGGAAGGAGCACACTGTCAGGGACTTAGTGGGGTTGAAGTCCTACCTGGCGGCTGGAACCATCGTCTCGGTCATTGAGGAGAAGGTGAGCATGTGGTAGAGCTGGATGAAAGGGGAAAGAGCTGCTGGGAGGCCCAGCAGTGGTATTGTGTTCCCTCTGGGAGGCAGCCTGGGTTCACAGTGACCCTGGGCCTGAGTCCTCGGGTGTCTCTGCAGCACCAGCTCCTCTCTCCGGGCAGGTGCTGTCGTGGCCTGTTCGTGCTGATCCAGAAGAAAATGCAGTCACGAAGGGGAAGGCAGGACGGGGGAAGAACAAGAACCGTGCCAAGGTAGTGTGCTGGGAGAGAATGATGTCCTAATAATATCTGAGTTGCAAAAATAATGATGGGGGAATGAGGGCTGGGTTGGGTTAGCTTGCTGTCTGATAACGGGACCCCAGCCCTCTACTGAGGCTTGTCCCCGTTCTGGTGCCCTGCAGGTTCCCGAGCCCAGGGACAAGCAGAAAAAGAAGAAGAAGGCAAAGCCATGTGAATTCCGCAGTGACCCTCCCATTCGGAGGACCCTGGGCACCCAGCAGGTGACCCTGGAGACCCTCCTGGCCACCGAGGACCTGGTGGCAACTGTATGTGACTTTGGGATTCTGGTCACTGAGCAGCCGCTGCAGCCACCAAGTCTGGAGGAGAAGGTAAGGAGCGTGTCCCAGGGCAGGGCTGCAGGCTGGGGTTCAGCATGTCCTGCCCTGCAGCTGGGCCAGGCATCCCTCCCATCCATCTCCACAAAATGGGGCTGAAATAATCCTGCCTAAGTACCATCCAAAAAATACTGGTATTGTTGTTTAATATTGATGTTAACAGTAAGAACTTCTACTTTTAATGGGCCTACGGAAATAGATGAGTTTATTTTTCCGTTTGAGAATATGAAAGGAAATGCTCGTGCTTCCTCTCAATGCTTTCTGTTCCCTGGATTCTCTTCTCCGAGCAGCCCCACCACTGTGCTCCTGCTTCTCCTCACCCCTTTCCTTTGCCCTTTTAATCCCGGTGGCAGAACCCAGATGGTGAGGGCTGTCAGAGGGCGGAATGCGGGCAGTGAGTTTCAGCACAGCCTAACTGTGGAAACATCTCTCTCCACAGGACAGGAAAAAACAAAAGGACAAGAGCAAAAAACCAAAAGCAGAGAAAAAAAATCAGGCCAGCCGGAAAACCGCGGCGTCTGCCAAAGGTGACGGAGGCTGGAGCTGGCTGGGCAGAGGGTGGTGTGGTGCAAGAGCCGGGCGGCAGCCGCGGGTCCCCGCTGCCCTGCCAGGGCACTTACTCACATCCTGAGCCCCGGGCTGTGAATGCAGCCATTGACTGCGGGTGCTGGGGGGTCAGGCACCCGACACCTTGTTGAATGGGTGTCTGAACACCCACTGAGGGCGGGCTGCCGGCTGTCCCAGGAGCAGCACACACCTACCGGCTCTGGGTGCCAGGGGAGAAGGGCAAAGCACATTTTTGGGTGAGAGAAGTGCTGCCCGCTGTGTTGGCTGCCAAATGTGGCTGGTGGTGTGGGCAGCAGTGGGGAGTACTGTCTGGGATGCACAATAAGGTCCTCATCCATTTCCAACTCGCATCTCAAAGCACTTCGCAGAAGGGGTTATTGTTCCCTCTGGTTTAGAGATGAGATGTGCAGAGAGACTCAGGTGCCCCAGCCAGCCCGTGGCGGGGTTGGGAGCAGATCCTGGTCTGCTGTCACCCATGAAGAGACCACCGGGATCCCTGGTGGATGTCCCCTGCCTCCCTGGTGCAGAGCTCACAGCCTGCTCAGCCAGCGGCGTTGCTTAAACTGCTGGAGAGAAACCGCAGGCTGCCTTTTGCAGGTTTTCCAGCGATCTTGTTTTGACTACAAAAATAGCAGTGCCAGCACATCGGAGGGTAACGCCAGAGCAGGAGGAAGTGGGGGAGGGCAGGGGTAGCAGGGAGATGCTGAAAAGCTGCTCATGGGCCGAGGAGAGCATGGAGCGGGCCAGGCCTCCAAAGGAGCTACCAAAGGAGCCTCGTGTCCCCACTCTGGTATCAGATTTGGTTGCTGGTTTAAGAGAGCAATTAACCTCCTTCTCCAAGAGCTCTGGGGTGCCTTTCTGTGCCCTGTCACCCACGGTGAGGTGCCCGTCTCTGGGGAGGATCTCAGAGCCCTGCAGTCCAGGCTGTGTCTGTGCCTGGTGGCCTGAAGGCCTTCCCAGCTACCTGAAAAGAAGAAAAAAAAACCTTGAATTATTGTTCCCCAGAAGAAGATGTGTATTTGCAATATTTGCTCAGACTGTTGGTGAAGCAGGGAGCTGCTGTCAAACAAACTAAAGTTTTGCAGTGGTTATTTTTTACTTCCTTTCCAGCCCAGTGCCTGTGGTCAGTGTGCGTGCAAGAGGTCTTCTCTTCAGCTTGAGTGAGAACAAACCCTTTCTGCAGGGGGTTGTGTGGCCGGAGATGGTGTTGGCTGCACAGAAAGCTGCTGCTGATGCAGGAAACCCAGAGTTGATTAGACTCTTGTGCTTCGTCTGGTGTCCCCATACACCTGTGAAGGCTGGCCAGCCGCACAGTGAGGCCACTGAGTGCATATTTCAAAAAGATAGGGCCTAAAAATCAGCTGCCCCCACACCCAGTGCTGTCAGTGTCCTGTGGCCTTGTGCTCTGCTGTGACTCGTGACTCACAAGTACACCCCGATGGTGGCTGCGGTGGCAGACCATGGGGGCAGGTGGGCTGCTGGAGCACCGCTGCACGCTGTGTCTGCCAGCCCCGGATGCTCCATGAGTCACCAAAATCATGGTCGTTTGGCACTTGCTCATCACTGGGGGGGTCCCACGCACCACCTTGGGGCTGCAGTAGTGGCTGTGCTCCGGGGCAGGGGGGATGGCTCCCAGCCCTGGCGGGGACTGGCACTCTCACAGCCAGGAGCTGAGGCTGATTTGCATCTCTCAGTCGGCAAATGCACACAAATAATAAGTCCTCTCAGAGGAATTGGGATCCCTTCCAGACAACTGAAAGAGGAAAGGCAGCAAGCTTTGTCCCGAGCAAGCAATTTGCCCGGACATTGAAGGATGTCTTCAGAAGTAGTCTCACGTAGGTCTCATTTTACCCCACTCTTGATTTTCCAGGATCCTTAAAATGATGTATTTCTGCATCTTTCTTCTGTCTTAGGAGTTATGGGAGACCTTAACAAAAAGCAAAATTTCACCCAGATCATTTGCCTGCTTAAAGATGCTTTTCGGGCTTTTTACCTAAAGTCATACTCGAATAGATTTTTTTCCCTTCGAGGCCCGGAAGTGCTTAATGTGATGGGCATTTCCCCCCCGCGCAGTGGGTGATTTCTCTGTCAAGACAGTGACAGATTTACTTCTTTCCACAGGAAAAAGAAAAAACAAAGACACTGCTGAACTGGAGGAGGGTCAAAACCTCCAGCCGGTGCCGCTGACGGTTCAATTCCAGATGCAGCTGCTTCGGTGGCCCTGGGCAGCCAGTAGCCAGAGCCAGGAGAGCGTGGCCACGACAGTGGAGAAGACCCAGTAACACGTCGGTAGGAAAAGAGGGAGTGGGAAATAAAACCCACAGGGACGCTGCGTGGATCCTGCTTCAGCTGAATCGCCGGGGCTGGGAGCTGCCGTGGGGCTGGCGATTGGGCTGCTGCTGAGCTTCTGCAGGAGCTAGTCATGCGGGGTGCAGGGTGGGCGGTGCGGTGTGGGGCTGTGCGGTGTGGGGTGTGCGATGCCGGGGGTGAGGTGTGCGGTGTGGGGTGCACGATGTGGTGGTGTGGTGTGGGGCTGTGCGATGCGGGGGGTGAGGTGTGCGGTGTTGGGTGTGCAATGTGGTGGTGCAGTGTGGGGCTG